GAAAATATAAGATAAAACTTGCTAACTTACTTACTGCAAAATATAGTTTTTATAAGGTGTTTCTTTCAAATAAACAAAATAAAATGGCACAGTTTACGTTTCAAAATCCAACTATTTTTCTTGTGTTTGCTGCTCCTGTAAGGTTAAAATCCACTGCCATATTTTTTAAAAATAATAATAATTACATTATATAATGTGGAGGCCCCAAATAAAAATCTACATAGGGCCCCACAAATGTTTGGACCGGCCCTGTGATGCTAACTCCCACCTGTAAATGTTAGCATTTATTACACTGCTGCCTCAGTTAATGTCAACATGGTCCGTGATCAAAATGCCGAGTAACAAAATGTGACATTTGTACACTTATACTCAAATATTGCGAAAATCATTGCAAAAAAAAAAAAAAAAAAAAATTAAAACAATCTCAAAATCCTGGAGGGACTAAAAATAAAGTGTTCATCTTTTGCTAAAAAGTGAAACAACCTTGTAGTTGGAGAATTCATGATTCCAGTTTGGTGACGTTGAAGTAGATATTAGCTGCGTTTCCGTTACAAACATTCACAAAACTCTGTCGATGTTCCGCTAATGTCGAAAAAAAAACCTGTCGCAACTACTGTTTCCATAAAAATAAAAACTAATTAAAATCACACTAAGCTTGTTCACAATTAATCATGCTGTCAAAAAACACACGGCGCCGTAATCCTCCATCTACTTCCTTGTTTTCTTCTTCGTTGGTTATGCCAGAGGGAAAATCCTGGTTGATCACGTGATGCGAAAAAAATGTTTTCGTTGCGTGACAAACCAATTTAAATCCGGCCAAAAATCCAGCTGATCCCATCGCTCCCTGGCGGGTCCCGTCTCCTTGGCCACACAGGACAAGGGAGGAGGGTCGCTGATGCTCCAGTTATTGGAAGGCCTTTTCTTTCTTAGTGCTAAGAATAATGCCAGAACTTAAATGTGAATGCCATACATTCCTACTCAATAAATATTAGGACATACGTCCTGATCAGCCTTGTCTTATTAATAGTACCTTTCGAAAATAACCTTTTAGCAGGTATTAAATGTACTGCAAAATATAAATATGTTAAAACGGAAGTAATCTAATTAATCTTGGTGATGGAAATGCTGACAAAGGAACTTTTCAGTCATATTTTGATTTATGGAATCAGCCTGGATTTGCTGAATGCAAATACAGTTGAAAAGTTTCACAATTCAGTAATATTTTTTGTGAAGAATTATCACATAGTTGCCTTTTATTGTCTGATTTTATCAAGTGCTAAAAACATCAACAACATGAGATTCTGTACAATCAAAATGTTACTAAACGTTTCAAAAGTAGAACAAGTAATTTCTGTGTAAACCAAATGAATCCCTGTCAATGCAAACTGTATTTTTCAATGATGTGATTCTGACTCCACAGCTTCCCTCAGTTGGTTGGCAAAACCTTTTGCCCTGCTGACTTACACACAGCAGATGAGATATGATGCGTCTTTAATATGGCAAATAATAAAGAAGCAAAAACGTTTTGGGGTCTGATTGGTGCAGTTGGGGAATAAAGTGACCATCGATATTACTGGATTCTATAAAATGTGGCTTAAAGCTGAGATACTGATGTTTGGATATGTAATAATAAATATTCTCTCTGCATATGAATCTATAGTTTGGTTTCTGTCAGTTCTGTAAAGATACAAGAGAGAACAAAGCAAATTTCTCTTTTATATTGGCCAATAATTTAATTTTACTTAACTGTCGCTGTAGGAGCCATTGTTTAAAATTTAACAAACTTTGGCTCCTATAAACTTTATGAAATATTTCATCCTATTTGCTCTGAATGTTGCCACGTTCTACGAACAAATGATGCAATTAGTCCAGGGGGAAAAAAAGAAAAAAAAGGATTATTATTATTTTTATCTTTATTATCAATCTTTGAAACATTGACATTGTACACAAACATAAGAAAAGAAAAAAAAATAATAATAAAATAAAATATATGCCAGGGGGATTTTAAACATCATCTGGACAGAATTACAAGATATTACATTTATGTAATAAATTTACTGTTTTCATAGCTTTTGGATTATTAAGACATAACGAGATGATTGTACATTTTCAATCCGTTAATGAAGATAGAGAATAAAGGTTTGTTTTTGCTGAACTTGCTTTTATGTATCAAGAATTTAGCAAGAAGCATAATGAGGTTGATGACAACAACAGAATCACAGTTCTTCTGGTCAAAGCAGTAAAGCCAAGAATAACAGTTTCAAAACTGAGAAGAGTTTGTGGGGAAACAGTATCAGGTTCATGAAATCGTCCCAGAGCTTCTTGGTGGAGTCACAGCTCCAAAACAAACGATTCATGTCTTCAGTCTGAGTGGTACAGAAAGAGCTCAATGTATCAATATTTTTATTGAATCTACACATATACTGTTTGGTTGGGTAGCATCTGTGGACAAGTTTATAAGTCACTTCTTTAACTTTGTTAGTAACAAATAATTCATGAGGCAGAGACCAAACCTTCCTCCAATTAAGACCATGAATGAGCCTGTTCCAATAAACAGCAGCACAGGGTTGAGAGACGATCAGCTGTTGGAAAAGGGAACAAATTTCCTTGTTTTTGGAATTAGACACCAGACAAACTTTACCAACAGATGTATCCATTAAGCTGCATGAGGTGGGGTCTGGTTTCTGACTGATGATGCCTTTCATAATCATACGAAGGCCAGAGGGAACGGCATCAAGGACAGCAGCGGATTCCTGAGCAGTTACTGGAAACTTAAAGAAAATTCACTGTAACTGAACAACGACCCTTGATTATTAAACAGCTGCCTTACATACATTATATTATTTTTTATCCAGTAGCCAATGCAGAGATTTATTCTTGTATAAAATGTCCTTATTATGCCAGATTATACATTTGTGAGGAGAATAGTTGTGCTTATAGATCAGTAACCAAGACAGCAAACATTGTTTGTGGAATGTGGACAGTTTGACTGGGATTTTTTCAGGATTAAAGTTACAGAGCAGAAGAAAATCAAGACCACCCAACTGAGAGAATATATAATTAGGAATGAAATTCCAACATGAGGCGGGACATGGCGGGTATTGTTCAGTCCATTTGACTTTTAGAGTATTATTTAAAGTAGAAAAGTCCAGGAAATTTAACCCCCCATATCAATTGGGTTCATAATAACAGACTTTTAAATGTAATGGATTTTGTGCTTCCAAAGAAAGTTGAATAATAACTGGTCAATACTTTTCCAGGTGCTGTTGTCTACAAAGAGAGGAGAGGCCAAATAAACCAAACTGGAGACGCCTTCTGCCTTAGAGAGCAGAGTCCTTCCCCTCAGAGTCGGATCTCTGTGCAGCCAGAGGTTCGGCTTTGTTCTGGTTCTGGTAACAGCAGGAGAAACGTTTTCAACACATCTACTTTTATCACTTCTGGTGAAGGTGATTCCTAAGTATACAACATTCTGCTTAATTGGTATGTTGCTTATAGAGGATACAACACAATCCTTAATAGCAAAAAGTTCACATTTATTGACATTTAGACACAAAGCAGAGGCTCTAGAAAAGATCCGAATAATGTCAAGAGCAAGGGGAACTTGTTCAGAGTTACACAGAAAAAGTGTAGCAACGTCTGCCAGTTGGTTTATTAGTATATTCCTGTTTGCTGTGTCGATACCTTGTAAGGGACTCGCTTTAAGATGGGTTGAAAGGAGTTGGCCAGCCAGTAGGAAGAGATATGGAGAAACAGGACAGCCCTGCCTGATGCCTCGATGGGACTGAAATCTGGGGGAAGTTCCAGATTTTAACTTTATAGCACTGTTGCCATTAGCATAAAGAGTTTGAATAGCTTTAATGAAGAAGGGACCAAATCCAAATTTTTCTAAAGCTAAAAATAAGAAGTCGTGCTCTACAGAATCAAAACCTTTAAGTCAAGAAATAAGATAAAACTATTATCATCAATTAAATCTGAATAATCCATTATATCCAGGACCAATCTTATATTGTTGGATATGTGACGTCCTTTCATAAATCCTGACTGACTCTAATATCCTCTAAAACATGTTTAAGACGTTTGGCCAACACTAAAGCAAGTATTTTATAATCGTTATGTAACAGATTGGGCGCCAGTTATCTAGAAGAAGAATGTCTTTGTTTGGTTTAGGAATGAAGGTGGTGGCCCTGAGTCAAGGTAGGAGGGAGGGTTCCCCTCTCAAAGCTTTCCAAATATACCTGTAGAAGAAAAGGGGCCAGTTGTCTGGAGAATCATTTATAAAACTCTGAGCTGAAGCCGTCTACTCCTGGAGATTTGTTCGTCTTTAGGTGTTTAATAGCATCCAAAATATCAAGTAGAGAGATTGCCTGATCACAAAAAAGTTTATTACTTTCATCAGTTTTTTAAGATCTGGAAGAGCATCAAAGAACTGAGCAGCAAACTCCTTGTTATATGCGGAGCTGTGTAATAATTGATAAAAGTCGGCACAGCAGGAGGCATTTTCACGAGGAACACTGCAGATATTTTCATTAATTTTGAGTTTGTGTATCAGAGATATAGCGACTCTTCTAATCTGAAGAAGTTGCAGAATTCGGCTCACCTTCTTCCAACCATCTGTCTGGATCTAATGAGGCCTCCTCTGCTCTCATGTTGGACATTTCATCTAAACTGTTCTGCAATTCTGAAAAATCATCTCTCTCCTGATCTGACATTTGATCCATTGATTTCAGAGAAAGGGTTGTTAAGTCTGAACTCTTCAGTTTGTTTCTTTTTCCTACATATATCCTTACCACACTTTCTTAAATATTTTCCTGTTTCCAACTTCAGAAGTTCCCAATTTAACCCAAAAACATTCTCCGTATTAGCTTTGGACCAGAATCTATCAAAGACATGAGGGAGTGAATAATATAATCATGTTTTCAAAGAGTTCAGTTTCCAAAATGTAAATCTCTCTGCACTGTTTGAAAGTTTAGCTTTATGTGAACAACACAGTGATCTGTAAGGAACCAAACCCTCAGTGCTGAACTGTCAGCACGGTGTGACATCATCCAGCTTCCTGTTGGGGGCGGAGCTTAGCAGCAGAGTCCAGAACCAGCTGGTACCTGGTTCTGCAGCACTAAGACTACATCTGCCAGATCACAGAAATGGCTGATCTGCTGCACCAATGAGGAACTGAGAGCTGAGAAAAGATGGCGTCTGATTGGATGATTGAGTAGCACAACTGCATGATCTACTTCCTGTTTGCTTCTCAGAGGAAGTGATGTCACTGAAAGGCTGAGGATTTTAAAAACTGTTGAACTGAGATTTTTATGTCTGGATGAAAATGAATCAGAAAAAATATAAACTTTAAATTTGATCAAAACTCCATGAAGACACAAAATGGACCCGAGTTTGAATTGGATCTTTATTGATACAGACAGACAAACAATATCAGACACTAAAAATAAACGGGATGAAAATCTTTCAGGTCAAAGGTCATCATCATGATCCAGTCAGAGTCTCTTTAGACTCAAACTGCTGCAGCTTCTGAGGATCAGCAGGAAACAGAAACGATTCTTTACTTTAGAGAGATCATGACCATAAGCTGCAGAGAGAAGAAAGATGCAGAGATCAGATCAGTGAGTGTTTCCAGCTTCTCTCCAGCAGCAGTCAGTGACGCAGCACCTCCAGTAGAAAGAGCAGCAGGGCCTTCAGTCCTGTTCAGAGAGCTTTACTGGGAACACTGGATCTTTGCTGTGATGCTAACTGGTTTAGTTCAAACATTTACTTACGTTACATCCTTTACAAAACGCTTCAGCTGCTGAACATCTGAATCTTTCAGGTTGTTCCAGCTCAGGTCCAGTTCAGTCAGATGTGAGGGGTTAAAGGTCAGAGCTGAGGCCAGAGAAGAACAGCTGATCTCTGACAAACTGCAGCCATCCAACCTGAATAAAGAATAAAAGATGAGCTGAAGCCAACAGGATGCAGGTTAACCAGTCCAACAGAACCAGTTAAAGAGTCTCATGACTATTAATGCCAACAAGCTGCTGCTTCAATAAAGACCTGCTGACTTCAGCTCTTAAACTCTGTCAGCTCCACCAGCAGCTCCATCACTACAAACTCAGCTTCTGCAGCAAATCAGTCAAGTTTCACACAAACTAACAATCAGGAG